AGTAAATAATGGCCGGAGACAAACAAATTGACAAGAAAAAATTATTTATTTGAAATCGAGAATAACAAAAGTTTAAATTAAAATCAATTGAATACAATATAAATAAATATGAAATTTTTAGAAAATATTTTAAAAGTAAATAAATAAATAAATATGTTGTTTGTATCCCAAAAAAACAAAAAAAAATCCATTTGTTTTTAAAATCCTAAGAGTACTCACAATGGTCTTGTTGAAAATTGGCCTTCAAAGATTGGCGTATCCAAACGAATTGTTGTGGTCGCGGGATGGGAGTGGATATATTGCACAATGTCTTTTATTTTACATCATTCCCAAATGCACAATAGAAAAATAATTCTACAATATACATAATCATACATAACTACATTCCCAAATAAATGTCTGTTAACTACAATAAAATAACAACTAATTCTAATTTTCAAATTGTGTAACTGCCAATAAAGTCAGAATCTAAATTGTGTACTTACTAAACAAGTAAAAAATTACCAAAAAAATGCAATAATTTTGAAGCAGGTTACTAGTTGGCTATGTACAGTGGTGGATCCAGCCATTTTTCTCAGGTGGATGCACAATCTAATAAACTACTATTAAGCTTTTTCATATGTAAAAAGATTATACCATTTGTAATAGTTAAGCAAAGAACTATGAACCCCTTTGCATGTTTTTGTGGAAGAAGAGAAGGGACAACAAGGTTGCGGCGGAAGACAACAGGTCTGCGGAAGGGGCCGATGGTCGGAATGAAAGGAAAAGAACAACAATAGTTGCCTCTTAAGGGTGTGTTTGTTTGGGAGTTTGGATTTTGAGTTGGGATTTGAATAGTAAAAATTTTGAATTTAAATAGTTATATGATGTGATATAAATAGGTGTTGATGTGATGTTTTGAATGTAAAATTGATTTTTAGTATAATATAAAAAATGAAAAACAGTTGTTTGATTTAATGTTTTTGAGGAAAAAATGAGATGAATAGTAAAAATTAAATCCAATCCTCCAAACAAACACACCCTTAAGTTGACTATTGCATTTGTCCACTCTAATCAAAATTAAAGGAGTTGTTAGAGTTCTGCTTTGTATCGTACTGATTTGATCAAGTTAGCATATTAATTTGAAGGAAAACGAATTATCTCTTACACATTGAGGAAATATTATATTCTTTTCGTCCCTTGATAATTAACCTCTTTAATTAGTGACACCATATTAAAAGAAATAATATTTAATTAGTTAATAATAATGAATTATGATATTATTTTATTATTTAATATTTAATTAATAATATTGATAGTTTTAAAATAAATTTAATATATATAATTAAAAAATTAGAATATGTATTTAAATATTTTAGAAATTACGGGACAATAAAAAATATATGCAATATGAATATTATTTCACAGAGAATAAAATTTTCTATAATACAAGTAAATAAAAAATACTTTTAATTATTTAAAATTAACATAAACTAAATTTATAAAAAATGTGAAGTTTTAAATGTAAATAAAAATATTTATTTATTTTTAGGAGAGATATAGAAATCAAAGAGTTTTGATTGAGTCTTACATGATTTATGATGTTATATATTATATAGTTAATTATATTGATTTATATTTGTTAAATATATTTAAATTTAGTAAGTTTTATCCAAAACAGAAGGAATTATAAGTAGACCTGTCAAAACGGGTTAGTGTGGCGGATTAGTCCACAACCTATCATAACCCGCAAATAAGCGAGTTGTTTGCGGGCCAACCCGCGACGGAGCGGATCAAAATTTCATCAACCCAACCCAATCCATCGGCGGGTGGCGAGCTAAGTGGGCTAGCCCACGGACTTTTTAAAAATATTAAAAGAATATTAATATTTTAAATATTTTCGTAATTAATATTTAAAATAGTTAAAAGTAATTTTATTGTAGAATTTAAATAATAAATATTTTAAAATAAATAACATAATATAAAAATTCTCAATTCTAAATATTATTAGTAGGTGTATTTAAAAAAAAATTAATAATAAGAAATACTCGATTTTAAAAATAAATCATAATTAATTTTATGAATTTGTAAAATTATAAAATAATAAAATGGAAGACGAACAAAACAAATGATGAAAAAACGAAACAATATAACACTGACATGGATAACGGAATTATAGAAGAAAAACAACATGTAGATAATATTGATAATTTATTTAAGCTAATGATAAGATAAATTTTATTTTATTCGTCTTGACTTAAATATTTTTTTTTTTTCAGTAGTAGATTAAAAAGAATCATATGTTATTTATTAAATAAAATGTACAAGATGATTTTGATATTTTTTACTCTTTGTACATTATTTATAAATTAATTATATTTATGATGATATATTTGTAATTTATATAAAATTAAAATATATTCTGATATTAATATTTAATTAGTTTTATTATAATTTTTAATATGACTGTAAGAATTGAAAAAATAAATTTAGGTAGGCGGATGAATATTAATTATTATATTTATTTAACCCGCGGGTTAACCCGCCCTACTGCAGGCTAATTCACCCTCAACCCGCAGCCCATGCGAGTTGGCTCATTTAGACCCGTATTTTAACTGGCTTAAAATATTACAACCCAACCCTCCTTAAAAGTAAGGCGGGGCGGGCCAACCCGACGGGCTCAACCCATTTTGACGACTCTAATTATAAAACAAAAAATAAAATAAAAAAAATATGTCAATTGTTATGAAAAAGATGGAGTATATAGATATAGATATTTAACAAAATTATTGAAATAATTAATATAATTAATTTAAATCAATATCCACATCTAAGGTTTATATATATATATATATATTTTTGTATTAATATTTGAATATTAATTATTTAAAATTAACATAAACTAATTTTATAAAAGATGTAAAGTTTTAAATGTAAATAAAAATATTTATTTATTTTTAGGAGAGACATAGAAATCAAAGAGTTTTGATTAAGTCTTACATGATTTATGATTTATGATGTTATATATGATATAGTTAATTATGTTGATCTATATTTGTTAAATATATTTTAATTTAGTAAGTTTATCCAAAATAGAAAGATGTCCATGATCATAAGACAAAAATAAAATAAAATAAAAAATATGTCAATTGTTACGAGAAAGATGGAGTATATAGATATAGATATTTAACAAAATTATTGAAATAATTAATATAATTATGTAAATCAATATCCACATCTAAGGTTTATATATATGTATATTATTTGTGTTAATATTTGAATATTAATTATTATATCAAAATATAATACAAATCAAAATAAAAAGACAAATATTCTTGTATTAGTATCTTATAATACAAATATAATGACATTTATTTATGATTATAATAAACTAATTTTTATAAAAGAATGAGATTTTTAAATATAGATAAAAATATTTATTTATTGATAAGAAATTAAAATAAAGAAATTTTGAATCGAGTCTTACCTAATATATGATGTTACATGTTATAAAATTAATTAAATTATTTATATTTATTAAATATATATTAAATTAATAAAATTTATCAAATAAAAATATATATCATTTGTTATGATATAAACTAAAATAAAAATAATATTATTTGTTACAAGACTAAGGAAGTATAGATATTAAAAGAGACACCGTTCACCTACATATTATATATATATATATAGAATATCATTTGTTATTTACTTCATTATTTTTCATTCAAGTATTCTTTATTCCAAGGAATTAGGGTTTAACCTAATGATGAAGTTTTCAACTCTTTATAATATTCATATTACATATATTTTTATGATTATATAATTTTTTAATATTTAAATATATATTCAACTTTTTGTTTTAATTATATATATTAAATTTATTTTAAAATTATAAATATTATTAATTATATAATAAAAAATTATAAATAAAATAATATAATAATTTATTATTATTAACTAATTTAATATTTCTTCAAGCAACAAATATACATTTATTTTTGGAGCAGAGTTTTAAAAAAAATAATACTCCCTCTGTCCCATTGAAAGGTTATCATTTTTCATTTTCGTCCGTCCCAAAATAAGGTTATCATTTCCTAATTTAGTAATTGTACTGCCTACTTAAGATAATAAATACTCTTTCAACTTACATTATATTACACAAATGCCATTACTTTTATATTACACAACACTAATAGAGGTATTTTCGTCTTTTTCACTACAATTCATTATAATACTAATATTAAAAAATCTATGTGCAAAAAGTAAACGGAAACTTTGCACTGGAATGGAAGGAGTATTTTAATTATAATGGGTAAGTAAAAGTAGTGTAATGATATTTTTATTCTTACTTTTTGCGATGTAAAATAAGAGTATTTGTAAAAAAATATAAAATATTTAATAAAATAATTACTTTGTAATTTAACGTTCCAAAATAAAAAAGTATATACTTTCTAACTGAAATTATTTTAAATAATGTTTTACTTAGTGAAGGGGAACATTCAACCCAAGGAGAGAATATTTATTTAATTTTTTATCTAATATTTTAATATTATAATATTATTATTTTTTAGTCTTGGCTATTATATCAAATTACTAGCTATTGAAACACGGTATTTTAGAAGGGATGTAATTAGTAGATAATTAAGAATGTATCAGTGAAAATAATTATCTTATAATATAAATAATTATAAATTAAGATTAAGATAACTAATTAGTATAATTAAAATTAAAAAAAATAAAATTTAAAAATTTAAAATAGATTAAAGTGTGTAATTATTTTTAAAACAAAAAGTCACATAGTATGTTGGATGGACAGAAACGGCACGTGGATATGGTATGTGAGACTGAGGGAGCAATATATTGGGATTATACCAAAATGAAAAGTATGAATTAGACCGTGGGACTGAAAAAGTATATACTAGTCATTGTATATATGTTGTATATATATAAATTTTACTTCCTATTTTTCCGGACGAACATTGTGTATATATTTTTCAAATTTTCTCTTTAATTATAAGAAAAAAAATCTCTCCAAAATAAATGAAATTCGGTGTTGCGTCGTTCTTTTTCTTTCCTTTCCTTTCGGCAGTCTGCTTTCTCAATCTTTCTTCTTTCTTCCTTCTTTACTTCGAAATTAGCATAGCCGACGAGAGAGATCAAACTTTTCTTCATTTCTGGAGAAATCGATTGGGAAGCAGACGATTTGTGCTGTTTGATTTGTCGTTTGTTTGAAGAAGTGGAAGAAAATGTTGGTAGCGAACAGTTTCGATTTATGGCAGAAGGACTCCTTCTTCTCCGCAGCTGAGGAGGTTCAGCAATCTGCTGATAGGTAAGTGCGAGAAGATTGATTGATTCAGTTGTTTGCAGTTTTTATTTTTCGGTTATCATCTGGTTCTGTGTCTATTGAATCCGGTTCTGGTGTTTCGGTGCATTTTTGCCTCTCCAGCTCTGTTCCCGTACTCAATTTGTGCGTAAATTTTTTGCTAATTCTGTTTATGTTGGCTATCGAGCTGTGAGTTTTAGTTAGGTCAGGGTTTGAAGTGGTTCTGAAAAATCTGTCGATTGATTTTGTTTAACCGATGTTTGATTGAGTTTTTGTATGTTCGTGTTTCTATTTTGCTTCTTTGATTACAGTTTTTCTTTATGCTAATGTTTGATGGCCTGCAGTTTGATTCTTAGCTATGTATGTAATCACTTCCTTTTATGAAAATCATCTTTCCAAGTAAATGTATAATGAAGTTCTTTTTATAGGTCTATAGTTTGATTTCTGAGTAGTAGCTCTAGAGCGTTTTACAGGGACATGATTTCCATCCGATCAAACCGATACCTAAAGGCATAATGGAATTAGAGTGAAATGGTAGAGAAAGAGTACTCAACATAGAACTGTTTGGTAAAGCAGATCGATTTGGATGAAACGATCTATGGGCAAAATGATTGATAAAAAGGAGACCCTTATCAAATAAATATCGGCATATTTAGTTAGTGAATTTTTATTTAATTTTGGTTTTGATATTTTTATTTGAATAGTCATTTAAATACAATATAAATACAATATTATATGAAATAAATAATCTATATTTATAAAAAATTTGTAAAAGTGGAATAGTAAAAAAAGTGTAGAATGAACGGACTCAATTTTCAATTCTTTACTTTTCTATCTATATTGGATAGAAATAAAATCAGAGAATTAAAAAATAAGGCTATTTCTATTTCTTTGTCTCATTTTTTCTGTACCTAACACACCCCTAAGATTGTGAGGTTTTGGGCAGAACTACTTTCAAGCTATGAAATGCTAGCTAGCCACGTGGCGATTGTTAAATTCTCCATAAAAAAGGGCACCTGATGGCAGTTAATTGGCTTATATTGTATTTACAGCACAGATCTCATTTATGACTTCACAAAGTTTGTAGTTATGCATGTTGTTCCATGAAATGTTGTCGATTAACTATAGTACTGGATTGCATGATACAAGTACTTTATGCAATATTTTTAACTATAACAGGCTACTTCTACGGTCTTTGTAACAGAGGGGGTGTTGGCCTGTTTAACGAGCACCGTGAAATGGTGTGATTAATGGGAAATGAATTGCTGAGACTATTACTGAATAGGTGTATTTTCTATAGTTGAAAAGGAATTTTGTTTGTTGTTGTGTTTTTCAAGTTGTTGCTTGTGAATATGTGGTTTATTATAGCACTTTATGTTACATTTAATATTGGTTTAAGCAATGACTATGAAAATAAAGGTCATACTGGATGTTTGGCTTCTGCAGAATGGAATCGGCACATAGGACATGGCTCCGAGCAAGGAGAGAAGAATTAATACCCCAGAATTTGAATGAAATAACTAGAGAGCTTCAAATGGCTTTAGGCACTGCAAAATGGCAGGTTGGATTTCGTTTTTTCAATCTCTGGTATGCGTTGTGCCTTTTGTTTGTCTTAGCAGCTCTTCCTTCCTTATATTCACATAAGGCTTGCAAATCTATGGTAACATTTTTTCTTGGGCTGAAACTGTTCTGTGTACTGAAAATCGACTATTTTTTAATATGTTGTTTAACTTTTTTTCCCCTCTCTGATTTGGTTATTCTTTGAATATTTATGTCAAATTACATAGTTGGAAGAGTTCGAAAGGGCAATTCATATAAGCTACCGAAATAACAGTGATGATAGCACAACTACTCGTCATAGGGAATTTGTTACTGCTATACAAGATCAGATTTTGCGTGTCGAAACTGCATTGAAGGAATCATTAAACACAGAAGGAACAGAACCATTTAGATGGGTAAATTTGGATGAAGAAGAATGTGATGACTTAGAACATTTTCTTTCTGGAACTCCTGGAACCTCCCATGGATCATCACTTCGTAGAAGTAATGCAAAAGGAGATTCCCCTCATGGTTCTGGGGTTAGTTCCATTTTGCAAACTGCAAATCAAGAGATTAGGTTAAAAGAAGTTCCCAGGAGTATCGTAGCTGCCAACAGCTTCATAGAGCTGCAGGAGAGCAAATTTCCTGAGTCAGCAGATGAAATTAGAAATCAAGTGGATGAGATATCTAATAACCGAAGAGCATGGAGTTTGTCGGACAGAACTGCTCTTGAGATTGTTGTTGATAATGATGAGAGGCCTAGAAATGCACTGGTTGAATCAACCCCAAAAGAGAAGGGATTCAAATCTTTCTTTTGGAGGCCAAGGAGTGGAGCTAAAAGCGTGCCCCATCTTACCCGGATGAAGATTCTCAGTTGGGTAAATCGGGTATGTTCAAAAGTGATTTCCCTACTATTATTTCCAAATCAAAGATAAGAGTTTGTAGAAGAATTTACTGATTTACATGTGATTTGATTCATCTGTATCTATAAATGTTTCTTGTAGCCATAATTTTTCATTGCTACACCCTACGTAAATCCGCAACACATTTCATGGTTTGCAGAACACAAGAGGAGGCCACAGAAGTCAGAGGCAGCACCTAATGTCTTCACTCTTTCCAGTTAATTCCATACGTTTCGTACTTGCCTTTATGCTCACCATATTTTTAGTCGGTATGTTCTATTTTGTGAAGCTTCATTCAATGTTGAATTCTTATACAAATGTTATTTTGCCAATTTGCATTGAATCATTTCACTTGTCTACATCCTGGAAGAATGTTGGTAGAAGTTTACCGATAACATCGCTACCGACTACTGAAGTTATGAAACAATTATAGAAACATTTTGCATGGTCTAACTTCCAAAAACATTATCTTGTGTCATTACATTATCTATAGGGTTCTTACGCTGCAATTATGCTAACAATTTCCTTCTATTCTCCAGTGCCTTTTTTGCTCTACTCGACTTAAGTTCATTAACCGGGAGCTCCAAAACAGGTATGCAACTTTCAAGTATTATCATCTTTAATTGTTGCTCGATTACCTTGTACATAAATGTACTGACTGCTCATATACTTATGGTCATGTTTATTAATGGAATTAAGTTGGATAGATCATTTTATCCATTATTAATGATTAATGGACCTTGATTTATAATCATTATTAATGAACTAAATTATATTATTATTATTTTTAATTTTATTTATTTATTTATTTTTTATTATTATTATTTTTTTTTTTCTGTCATTCATGCTTACTTTCATGCTACGGCAGGATTGCTTGTACTTAATCACTGTTCATCTATTAATGAATAATAATTTGATCCATTGTCAATGCAATAATTTGAATTGATTAAGTGAGCTTACATATACTAATTAAGTGTATTAAATTGGGTTTATATATCATTCTAGGCTTCTATTATAATGAAATGCGATTAGTTTGGATAGTGCACAAGTAGAAAATGACGGAATAGCGCCGAGGACATAAATGATATCTTACCATGCCTTCTCTCACATTTTTTAAGCAAAATAACATAGTGATGGAAAAACATGGTTGGCCTCTGTCGCCGGAGTTGGATTGAGGAATGATTAAGAGTGTTAGAATATATTAGTCTTACTAAAAAGTAGAAAATTATAGAAAATGTCAATGTTGTATTTATAAAAGAAAAAGGTCAAAGAAACATGTCGCGCATAATTCGACCATTGATGCTTTAAATACAAAAACTATTCAAAATAAGGAATCTACTCAAAATACAGGTTACTAAGTCGCTGAGATGAAGCATTTGTAACAGCAACATTTGGGCAAGCACTTTCATCTACCAGGATGGGATACCAGAGGGTTAGTCGAACCTATTGCAGTACAATCATTTCTATTTGAATACAACTTTGAGGATGATTCGGTTGCAGCACCAACATGAGTAGTATTCACCTAGAACTACTACAGGAACTCCTGAACCATATAGCTTAATCTAAATCAGTACGCAATGCTATCCATGAGGAGATGATGTCTTTTCAAAAATCTTGGAAGTCCTCCAATCTCTGCTTTTCCTTATAAAAGATCTTCTCAAAAAGAAATTTTTCTATTGCAACTCCCATAAAGACGGGTTGAGCGCACGTGCGTTTTATATAATTCAGCCCCACGGCAGAAAAAGCCCATGCGCATGACCCGTTTTTCTCTGAGTTTCGGCCGAAAAATATTCTTATTTAGAAGAACTTTGATTAGACAAAGCTAGGATTTGAATACTTGCAAGATTCGTGGAGGAGCAGTAGCTCGTCATGGATGACATTTTGGACTGATCCAGCTTCATCTACTGGTGTTGAGGCAGACTCATCCTTCGGATGGGGTTACTGATGTGGGATTGGCTTAGACCTGCTGCTGTCTTAGATGAAGCTGTTGGTACAGGAAATGCCGTAGCTATTCCAATTGAGGTGCATTTTGTGGATGCTACACATGTTGATGCTGCCGGATTATCCTCAGGGCTACTTCCAAGTCGAGAGCTTCGACTGACCCTCTGGCGACTATGAATGAAAGTGATGGCCCGAATATTCCTTTCACAGAAGCTTCATCTCAATGATTTAGTGATATGTTTTGAGTAGATTCCATATTTTGTATAATTTTTGTACATAAGAGCATCAATGGCCTAGTTATGTGCTGGCTTGTGGCTTGCTTCTTTGCTTCTTTTTCTTTTATCTGCATTGCATTACCACGTTATCATTTCCCATATAGATAGATGGTCGAATTTCTTTTCGTAATGCTTTTAATTGATCTCCATTAGCTTATATGCACGATTCGAGGATTACACTGGAATGATACACGGTCTTCTTCCCAATTCGGTGACCATTATAATGGAATGTAATTAGTTTGGATAGTTCACAAGTAGAATGATATCCTTATTTTATTATGTTGATGGGATTATTTAAATGAGTACGCAAATAATCACATTGATTATGGTTGCATGAGTAGAACCCGAAAGGCTAATTCATTTCTTTGTGCTTTTCTCCATAGGCCGATATCAGAGAATAGTCAAGCTAGAGGACTTCCTTTCATTCAAGTGTAGATAATTCTTCTAGTTGAATGGTGGTCTCGCGACCTGGTCGAGCTCCATATGCCATGCTGGTTCTGATTCTCGAAATAAAACTGGGATTGTAATCCAACACTTGTATCGCTTATAGAATTTTAAGACTTTGGAGTGGAGTGCAGCAGGATCAATAGCGGAGATTCAGACATAAATACAATACAATGATTTGAATACTTATTATCCATTCCATTCCTGTGAAATATGTGTGCTGGGTATAACGATTTAAATGTTAATGTTATGTAGTAAGTATTACTGTGTTCGTTCTAATTTCTGCCTGTTTATGTTCTACAGTCTCAGATTTCATCGGCAACAAACAGAACAATGAACTCCAGCTCCAGGTAAGGTAAATATGCTTCACTGAGTGGCTCTTGTATATAACATGACGACCTTAACTCATGCAATTTGTGGTTTATTTTTGGCATTACTTTGTGGCGATGTTCTTGCGCTGATTGAATTAAAGTTAATGCACTATTTTTTTGTAGTCACCACATTGAGCAGAGTTGCGTTGAGTTTTCAAGCTGCTCGACTTTATTGACATGACATCTTTCTCACACACTCACACACATGCACAATTGCAATCACACCACCAAATCTATGCGATTATATGATTGTTCAAATCGATCTGTTTTAGTCCAAAATTCTTTACCGAGTGTTCTCCTGGCACGTCTACATGGGCGATCAAGTCTCGAAGTTGATACAAGAAGTTTTGATTGCGTAAAATATTGTATGCTTGACCGTGCAATTTGTGGATCTTAGTGAGAGATCCAGAGGTGAATGCATTTTCTGAAATGATCTATTTTCTTATGTGCAAAAAGGTAAGAGTACACTGCTATATATACAATTGTGTAACACCTCGATTCTAAATGACATGAGAGAGAAATACTACAATTAGCAGGGCTAAAATTTACAATCTGACCCAATAGAAAAAAAAATAGGTCCAAACCAAAAATCCAAAAGGCATAGAGTGAACAATTGTTAACCAGAGTGATATTCTAATCTTTTCACCTCTCCCTCGCTTTGAGCGTGGCAGGAGCTTGGTGAAAATGTCGGCAACTTGATTGCTTCCTTTGATGTACACGGGTAGAATGAACTTCCTTTCACAATGGTGCTAATGAGGTGACAAGCTATTTTAATGTGTTTAACTCTCTCATGAAATACCGAGTTTTCAGTGATGTAGAGAGCAGCTTGGTTATCACAATGCAAAGGAATAGTTGTGATAACATTAATCTTGAGTGTCTCAAGCAAGTAAGAGATCTATAGTAATTCAAGGTAGCCGCACTTATACTTCTGTACTTTGACTTAGCTGTAGAGACGCTAACTGTGCTTTGTTTCTTAGTTTTCTAATATATAAGATTCTCTTCTAAGAATACACAATAACTTGTAATCGGCTTCCTAGTATCTACACATACACCCAGTCAGCATCTGCATATGCCTTTAGCTAGTGTGAAGTTTCAGATTTGTAATGAAGTCTGTAGCATTGTGTTCCCTTAAGGTACCTCGGAACATGCATAGCCGAGTGACTTCTGGTAGGTTTTGACATGAATTGTCTCAATTGTTGTGGCAAATGTGAGACCAGATTTAGAAAAATGGAGATAAAGCAATGTCCCTATGAGTCTTCTATAAGAACGAGGATCATTGAGAGGTTCTCTATCTGTTGAGGATAATTTAAGTTCTCAGTAGTGTACAGAGGTTGCTGCTTGGTTCATCCTCAAGTCTTCCAATATATCACGAATGTACTTTTCTTAAAATAAGAACAACACACCACTAGTTTGTTTGATAAATAGGCAGTGATCATGTGGGGACTGATGGAAGCCAAAGTGAACAATCTTCTGATGGAAGCCAAAGTGAACAATCTTCTCTGTAAGTGTCTTGAAGCAAACCCTTGGGGCTTGTTTTACTCCGTATAGAGATTTCTTTAGTCTACAAACTTGATCTGGAGCTACTGAGTATCCTGGAGGAGCCTGCATATATAATTCATCTTCCAAATTTCCATGAAGGAAGACATTTACGTCCACTTGCTGGATATGCCAACCTTTGGTTATAGCCGATGCAAACATCAATCTCTCTGTGGTGCTCTTTGTCACAGGTGCGAAGCAATCTCCATAATATTTACCTTGTTCTTGCAAGTACCCTTACCAACCGTTTTTATACCTTGTAATCATACCTTCTTTGTCTCTCTTTTTTCTGTAAACACATTTACATACTATATCTCTCTTTCCCCATGGCAACCTCATTATTTTCCAAGTATTATTGTTTTCTAATGCATCAATTTCTTCCTTCATAGCTTGAATCCATAAAAAATTAGTTGCTGCCTCATTATAGGTATAAGTTTATTCTTCTTGGTCACTATAGGCACAAATATAGTCCTTTATCCACTATGGTCTTTTGATTCTCTTATGAGGTCTTTGGAGTGGAATTGATGTATTGCTCAATCTTGCCTCATCTGAATTCGTACTTGTTGAGTCATATAACCTTGTAGCTTCAGTTGAGATGTTGTCCTCAGTGGTGTCATGAGGGGGATTGCCACTATCATCCGGGCTGTTATCATTCTGGGTTTTGTTATTAGGATACAAGTCTATATTTTCCTGAGACTCGGTGCTGATAATGGGCAAAGACAATTCAAGGGTACTGCAAATCTCCCTTTCTGATTTCAGGCCAGGTAAACTGTGAACCTTTCACTGGTGGGAACAAATACTTTATATCCTTATATCCCTTTCTCATATCCGGTAAAGATTGTTTTGATCCCTCTACTGCTGAACTTGTCTTTGTGTAAGTCAGTGTTATAGACAAAGCACCAGCAGTCAAGCACCCTAAGATGATCAATATCAGACTTTTTCCCATACATCATCTCATATGGTGATCTCCATTTCAACACTAGGCTGGGCAATAGATTAGTTAGGTAAGTTGTTGTAAGGATTGCTTAACCCCAAAAAATTTTCTTAAAAGATGCTGATGTTTTTTTTCCACCCTACCCTTTTGTTGAGGTGAGTATGGACGGGTCCTTTGATGAGCAATCCTTTGTTCTTGTAGAAGGGTCCTAAATTCAATGAAGGTAAATTCTCCACCATTATCACTTCTCATACACTTCACCTTGGTACCAAATTGAGTTTGTGCAAGTTTGACAAATACATAAAAGATGTTAGCAGCCAGAGACTTGACATTTATAAGGTAAACCCAAGTGCTTCTACTAAAATCATCAAGTATAGTCAGAAAGTAATTAGCTCCACTAGTGGATGACAAATAATATGGTTCCCAAACATCCATATGAACAAGATCAAAAAATGCATTTGCATTAGAATAACTCAATTCATAAGGGAGCCGTTTCTGCTTTGCCATATGACAAGCATCACAATGCGAATCAACACAATTATTGTCATTAGGACTTAATAAAATATGTTGCAATACTCCGTCTGAGGATGTCCTAGCCGCTGGTGCCATGGAATACTCTCGTTCACTGGACATGCCTTCAATTCACGACTCATCTCCAAGTAGTAAAGATGACCTTTATTAATCCCTCTTCCCAAAACCTTCTGCTGCTTAGGAGTCCTTTATAATGCATCCATCATGCATCAAGATTACATATATATCAGGGTTATAACAGAGTCTGCAAATGGATATTAGGTAGTGCTTGAACTTGGGAATAAAATAAATATCAAATAATATAATGTGTTCATTGATCTTGACAGTTCTTAAATGAATAGCCACTTGCATTGAACCATTAGGCATGAAAATATCGACAGGTTTATCCAGTGCCCTAAGATTATCAAATAATCCCTTATCATTAGCAACTGAAAAGTTGCTCCACTGTCCAATACCCAACCATAGCTATCATTAGATTTGTTAAAGACATTAAGGCAAATGGTACCCGAGGGATGAATACCAAACATGTTGGCTTGCTTAACGGGAGATTTCAGCTGAGGTGATATGATCCTTAGATATTCTTTTCTTCACATGCTTGCAAAGTGACTTCTACCACTAAAGTTTGACCTCTTCCTTTCTTTTTCCTTTTTTCTTGAAGTGCCTTAAACCAATCGGGAAGTCCCATGCAATTTGAAGCATTCATCCTTAGTATGGCTTGTTTTCTTATAGTGTTTACAAATCAGACCTCTCTTGTCAATTTTTCTTCTCTCAAGACCTTTTCCAGACCCTTAGTGGTCGTAAGAACAATAGGTGTAGAATCATGCAGAAGCTCGGCTAAGTCACGTTGCTTCTCTGCACTAGATAACATTCCATAGATCTTGCTTAATGATAGATAGAGGTCCATCATCAAAATTTGACTCCTGATTGCATCAAAGGACTCATTGAGTCCCATGAGATAATCAATAGTGTCATGTTTGTCCAGATGCATATCAACCTCACGCCTGTCTTCCGGGATAAGGGCTAAACAGACAAGTTGATCATTCAAACTCTTCATCTTGTTGAAGTATAAAGCCATAGAAATGTTGCCTTGTTGCAAATTTGCAATTTATCTCTTAGTTTTGTTAGTAAGTGGTATATTTTATTGTCCATACCTATCCTTGAGATGCTTCCAATGCTCAAACATGATATCTTTGATTTATTTGAGATAAATAACCATCCGTGTATTTTTTTGTTTTACGACCCGTAACTCTTCCTCAGACGGGCTTACACAATTCAAATGCAACAGTAATAGATGGATAAATAGAGTTCAGCAGCCAACCTAATACCATATTATCAATCCCTTTCCACGGTGAGATATCAATTAGATCTGTTGGTTTTGAAATTTCTCTAGTGATAAATCTATCTTCTCTTTTTGTTGAGAGAGCCTTCATAACCATCTTGCTCCACAGAATGTAATTCGTCTCTGTAAGTTGTTGGAGAACTAGGCTCATCAACGGTTGGTCCGATGATGATAGTTCCATATGTGACATTGAGGTAGCCAGTGAGCTTCCAGAGGAGGTGGAGCCAATCATATGAGAGACTGAGCTCTCTGAAGAGGATTGGTTGAATGGATCAGAAGACATGGTTAGTGACCAAGCACAGATAGATCGCTGATATTAGTTCAAGGAGGACGATCGGAAAAAAGATTTAGGCTATAAGAGAGCTAGCTCTGATACCATGAGAGATTTATAGGTGAATGTAGTTTTTGGAATAATCTATTTTCTCCTCTTAAAAAAGGTAAGAGTACACTGCTATATATACAATTGTGTAACGTGTAGATTCTAATTGACACTAGAGAAGAACACTTAAGCTAGCAGGGCTAAAATTTACAATCTGATCCAATAAAGAAAGAAATAGTTCCAAACCAAAAGTCCAAACGGCATAGAGTGAACAACTGTTAACCAGAGTGATCTCTAATCTTTTCACTTAGAACAACTATTGTATCCTTATCCGTGTTAAGTTTTCCACATTCATAAATTATTGGGAGCTCTTCTTGTTTGGTTTTGAGATGAGTGGTCTCTTTTTTTATCAAGAGTTTGATATTGGTTATAGTCAGAATTTTAGCTTCAAGACGGAGGTGCTGTAGGGCAACT